ACTCCACGGCAGTGGGTGTGGTTTGGGCTTTGCTTCTGTGAAGATTGACAGCCTTGGAAACCCTGTGGTGCAGTTCCACTCTGTCCTCTAGGGGCGCCGTGAGTCAGAATCGACTCTACGGCAGTGGGTGTGGTTTGGGCTTTGCTTCTGTAAAGATGACAGCCTTGGAGACCCTCTGGTGGAATTCCACTTTGTCCTCTAGGGGCGCTGTGCGTAGTTAAACAACACTTGATGAATTGGCAATATTGAGGCATTCCCTCTTCTTTTCCCTCTCCCCTCTTCTAGTCTTTTAGGGTCCATGTTTCCCATGCCTCGAGTTATTTATGCCATGGCCGAAGATGGGCTGCTATTTAAATTTTTGGCGAAAATCAACAACCGGACCAAAACACCAATCATAGCTACGATAACCTCAGGTGCCATTGCCGGTAAGAACTGGAACAGATTTCACGTGCCAGGATTCAACCCTGCCTATAAGAAATCTTAACTAGTGAACCTTCACTGGAACCACAATACAAAGTTAGGAGAACCCCTAGACTATAAACAGCATTTAGTGCAGTCCTGTTCTTTAAAAATTATCTATAGATTTATCAAAAACCCTGAAGTATACTTGAAAATGTTTAAAAGAAAAGGAACTGTTAACTGTTTCCTTTTTAATACTGGGTTTTCACACTTGGAAGCTGGTAGCTGCCGGGCTGAGAAAGGACAAAGGCCAGCTTCACAGGAAGTGATGCCGGTCCCCAGCCGTGGAGCTCTCACGACCTGTTGTTGACAGGCTCAGAATGCACAGCTGTCCCCCTTCAGGGTCCTCCATCTTTGCCCTTTCCCAAACGTCGCCCTGAGGTGCTTCAGGCAGGGTGGCATCTTGCTTGTTGGACGGCAATGTCCCTGTACCTCAGCTCGTGCAGTCTCCGGACAGTGAGTGCCCTAACGGTCGGTGTTTGGTAGGATGAGCCATGTCTACCCCCAGGGATAGTGAGGGTGTTGGCTGATGAAGCCATGTTTGCCTCGTAAGATTATGAGTACCACAACCCTGAAGAGGCAAGCCTTGTGAAATAGATCACATTAGTATTAAAAAAGTAAATAAAAGCAACAAAAAAAAAAAAGTAGATCACCGAAAACCATCTAATCTGTGTTTTGTCCCCACGGGGTCCCCAAGATGCCTGCACAGGCGTGATACTCCATCACCACATTTTGTAGCCAGTTATCCCCATTGTCCAGATGCAGAAGTTGAGGCTCAGAGCAGTAAGTGAGGATGCACACTGAGGAGGTCCCAGAGCTGCTTTGATTCCTGGCTCCTTTCTAACGCCACAGCAGCTGGGTTCCTCCCAGGGTTGTCCCAAGCAGGGGCTCTTTTGGGAAGTTAGGAAAGTCAGTATGAGGACTGTTTTGTACCTGCAGTGACTGGTTAAATGTCTACTCGTAAGAATGAATCATGTTATATGAATGAATTCTTAACTTAGTTTTACTAGTATTTATGCCCTTGACAAAGTGTGCTTAGTTTTATAAATTAGCATTCTACAATGAAAGAAAGCTAGTTTTTCATATACTTAAGTAAGGAGCCGTGGTGGCACAGATGGTTAAGTTATCGGCCACTAACTGAAAGGTTGGTGGTTTGAACCCAGCCAGCAGCTCCATGGGAGACAGACCCAGCCGTCTGCTTCTGTAAAGATGACAGCCCGGGAAGCTCTATGGGGCAGTTTCACTGTGTCACAAAGTTGACTCGACGGCACCTAACAACGACCACAGCATTGTGTAAAATACTTGGTAGTGAGAACAGTGGTCAGGCTGAAGGACAGTGTATAGATCGGAAGATGACTGATCTGTTGAAAGGATTAGTGTTGGGTGGCATCATTTTCTGCAGAGCGAGTGTGTAATTTGGTCATGTTAAAGATGGCTTCCATTTCCTTCCCCTGCTGATGAAGGGAAACTCAACCTATAATCTATCAAGGGTGAAACCGAACTGCCGTCTACCAAACCAAGGCTCTCAGTCCTTCTCCCTCAGGAGGAGCGGCAGACGCGTGTTTGGTGTTTGGACCTCACCTCACATAGAGCGATCGGGTTTCCAGTCACTCCACGGGAAGGAATGTGGCCGTTTGTGGCACACGCAGTTGAATGCTGTTCTGATTACTGAGAAGACCCTCATTGCTTTGTCAGCCAGTCACTTAGCCTCAATTTAAACTTGTTTAGTTGTGACCTACAAGCCCTTGAGGGAGATTGTGGGAAAGTAATTGTGTTGATGTTTTTAATTTGTGCTTATTGTGTGTGACTGAAAACATCCCAAACTACACCTACCTGAGTTTTTTAAATGGGACATTTCGACATACACATACATGTAAATAAATCACATACTCTCACAGACATGACAAAGGGTTGTTGGATGGCATGTGTGTTTCATTCATTCTTAAGCAGGGGGTGTGGGGGGGTGCAGTGAAGGGGCCACACAGCTCTGCTTCCCGTGCTCACCCGTGCGGAGTCCGAGGGCCTCACTGTCACTGTCACCACTGATGTGTGCGTCTCAATGAGGCCAGGGGCAATGTCTGCCCTGTTTACCTAGCACCTAATGACTGGTGCTCTCCGTTGGTGCCCAGGACTGGGGGGATGGGAGGGTGGATGGGAGATGATGGATAGATGCGGGGCGTGGATGGAAGATGGTGGGTGGGTGTAGGTGGGTGGATGGATGGAGAATGATGGATGAGTAGATGGAAGATGGGTGGATATGGATGGGTAGAAGGAAGGAAGGAACTAAGATGATGAGTAGATATAGTGGGATGGATAGATGGGTGGATGGATGAAAAGTAAATGAATGTCAGATGGAAGATGGAATAGTTGGATGGATGGAAGGTGATGGGTGGGTGTAGGTGGGTGGACAGATAAAGAATGATGGATAGATGGATGAACAGGTGGATGGACGGAAGGAAGATGATGATGGACCTAGTTGGATGTTGATGATGGATGGTTGGGGGATGATGGATGGATGGTGGTAGTGAATCAATGGAAGTGGATGGATGGGTGAAAGATGGTGAGCGGATGGCTGGATGGATGGAAAGATGATGGTTGGATGTGGATGGATGCGGGCTGCATGGATGCAGGGTGATGGTGGGAGATGATGATGAATGCACGTGACTCTGTGAGTCAGCATGGGGTAGAGGAAGACACGGTGGACTCAGTCACCAGAGTCTAGTTCACATCCTGCCCCTTGTACTCACTAGCTCTGTGACCTTGGACATGCCCCTAAGCTGTGTGACATAGTTTCTCTGTCTGTACGCAAATGACTCAGTTACCATGAAGATCAAGCGAAATGGTTGCGTTAATAAAAGTGCTTTCAGATGTTAGTCTCTGGAGAGCTGTGCTCTTCAAGTTCCCTGGGTCACCGTGGTTCTAGCTGTCAGCTGTCAGAAGGGCCAGCTACACATCTGATGTCTGTCTCCTCTCCAGCTGTGATGGCCTTTCTCTTTGACCTGAAGGACTTGGTGGACCTCATGTCCATTGGGACTCTGCTGGCTTACTCTTTGGTGGCTGCCTGTGTGTTGGTCTTACGGTACGTATGGACTTTTCTACAGAAGTAGAGACATGCCCTGGCCCTCCCCAACACGAAAGCTAGCATCTTAGCTGTTCAGGGACAGGGACGGGGCCGTTGGGAGCTGCTGCAAAGAGGGGAGAGTCTGGTCGTGGAGTGTAGTTGGTCATGGGCCCTCGTTGTTGCAGCTGGATTTTGGGAGACAGGCTCTCAGCCCATCTGTTGGGCTTGGATTCTGGGGTCAGGGTTTTCTACAACAGTTAAGCACTGGGCTGCTAACCGAAAAGTCAGCAGTTCAAACCCACCCAGTGGCTCTGGGGGAGAAAGACTTGGAGTCTGCTTCCACAAGATTACAGCCAGTGAGAACCTCGCCTGTAAGACACTGAGACCAGGATTAGATGGCGGCCGGCAGCCAATGCCAACCACTCAGAAAGGGACCAAAATTGGAGATCTGAATGGAGTGCAAGAAAAACATGGAACAAAATTCAAAATCATGAAAAAGACCAGGTTTACTGGTCTGATAAAGACTGGTGGAACCCTCAAGACTATGGCTCTGAGTCACCCTTCAGGCCTGGAACTGAGATCACTCCTGTGGCTTAACTCCCAGCCAAACAACCAACAGGCCTATGAGCTGAACACCTGCACCAGGGAGATGCACTCCTTACAGCAGTCAACCGTGGGGGATCAGGAGGGCAGTGTTTGCACAGGGAGAGGGAGGGAGGCAGAAGGAATAATGATAATAAAAGATTATAGCCAAGAAAACCCTGTGGGGCAGTTCTACTGTCACAGGGGTTGCTATGAGTCTGAATCCACAGAAACAAGGGCCATGACTGTAACTTGGGTTCCTGGGAGAGAGGAGGCGGGAACCAGCCCTGGTGAGATGTGGGGAGAATCCAAGGCCAGTTTTGCTGCGCTCGCTTCAGCTCCCTGCGGCCGGAGGAGCGCGTCCTGTGGTGTGTGGATGGCCGAGGTTGACACTCGGCACTTTTCTGGTTTCTGGCTGTTTAGTTCCTGCCCTTGTTAGCGTCAGGCTCTCACCTCATGAAATAATTGGACAGGAGGCTGTGGAAATCAGTGGGACCTTGTCGTGTTCTACCTGTGTGTGCACAGGGTTCACCTACCCAGCTGCTAACCGGAAGGTTGGGGGTTCAGGCCACCCAGACATCCCTTGAGCAGCCGTAGAAAATTGGCTCTGGGCCTTGGACTGGGTTCCTGGCTTCCCATGAACCCCAGTGCCCTCTCCCAAAGCTCGTGCCAGGGCTCCAGCGTCCCCTCGTCCCTGGGAGGCCAGGGCGCTGAGTGCGACCCCCGGGCAGTGTTCCTCACACCAGCATTCGCTCCTGGAGGCTCCGTGCTGGGTGGCCCACAACTGCCTCCCTCCCTGTTTCTTTTTAGACGGTTATACCAGTGAGTCACTATGAGTCGAATCCACTTGAAGGCAATGGGTTTGGTTATTTTCATGCATACCTGTGAGGTCACTGATTTCATTTCTAAGGTGGCCGATCGCTAGTTTATATAAAACTTGGGCTCCGCCTCAGTGGGGGCTGTGTAGCCTCTGATGAAACTCATGGGCTGCCAATTGAAAGGTGGGTGACTCAAACCCAGCAGCCCACTCTGTGGGAGACAGATGAAGCAGTCTGTTTCTATAAAGATTGACAGCCTTGGAAACCCTGTGGGGGCAGTTCCACTCTGTCCTCCAGGGGCGCTGTGAGTCAGAATCGACTCCACGGCAGTGGGTGTGGTTGGGGCTTTGCTTCTGTGAAGATTGACAGCCTTGGAGACCCTGTGGGGCAGTTCCACTCTGTCCTCCAGGGGCGCTGTGAGTCAGAATGGACTCCACGGCA